CTCAAAAGGGCCAATTTCAATTAACAATTCTTCCTTTTAACAAAAGATCGGTTTTGCTCGAATCATTTTGAGTTATGCAATCTTATGCGTGTTGGACGTAAACAACATATTTTGTCTACAACTTTGAGAAGGTACAGATAACGCTTTCTAAAACCCTCAGTTCTAGAGATATCTCTATAAAATCACAAGGACATTAATGTCAAGTCTTTTAGCTATGTCACTGGCGAGAAAAGTAACTAATTTAACGCGATCAAGATATTTAAAACAAAAGTAACGCAAAGCCAACGTAACGGCAAAGACAACGTTAAAACGAAATATTGTCGAATGCTTGCAGGTAGAAGACTTACGACAGGATCAATCTTAAATAACCTTAAGCTATAAGAATAAATGTTCACATCAAAGACAAAGATCAGTCACAACGTATAAAATATGCTCTGTAAACTTACCGCGAAGTGGAGAAATGTGTGCATGAGCTGTTTATTCGATGATTTCGACGAATATAGAAGCCCTCTTTCCAATAATACTCGCTTATCGCACAGTATAACACCAACTGATATAATAGTTCAAATGCAATGATAAGTTATCTCTTGAATTACGTCTTGGAAACCGTGTTGGACATTTCCATGCTGATCCATTACATATAGATTCCCGTTTTATATCTTTGTTTAAAACATTTTGATCCCATGTAAGGAATTATTTCTCAGCCCAGAGACATAGCCCAAAGATTTGACATTAACGTCCTTTTGATTTTATAGAGATAGTTCCAGAACTAAGAATATTATAAAGAATTATCTGTACCTTCTCAAAGTTGTAGACAAGATATGTTGTTTACGTCCAACACGCATAAGATTACATAACTCAAAATGATTCGAGCAAAACCGGTGTTTTGTTAAAAGGAAGAATGGTTAATAGAAATTGGTCCTTTTGAGTGACATAATAGTGTATCGTCATCGATCCGTGACGTTGAACAATGAAAAAATTTGCTGTGAAATTAGTGAAGATAAAATAGCATTTTGTGAAAAAACTGCGGGTCTACGGAGTGGGAACTTTTCGGATTTGAACTCAGCGTGTTCGAAAGTGTTAGTTCCCGTAAAAGTATTTCAGTTCTAAGACATGCTTAATGAAAATTGTTTTCTAGGCACTTTTCGAGGTCACAACACACGGACTATACTACATTCTGATGAGAATCTTTGTTTAAAACAATATCGATTGTGAGCGTGTGCCCGCGCGAATTTAGTAAGCGGAATAAACAAAAACATTAAAAGCACATGCGCCATTTATCTCATTTTGGATAAAAAAAATTCGATTTCCCCAGAGTCATGCCACTACCTAACCCGCGAGCAGGCATACTCTGGGAACGAAATTGCCAAACATGCTGCATATAATCACCTTTCCAAATAAATTAGTACATTTTGAAATTGTTTGTAAAAATCTGCAAAATTAATGTTGGACAAACACGCTTGTTCTGTTAATATATGATTTGCTGTAAGTTGAGTATGTCAGGTTTGTTTTTAATATTTTCTAGTCTGATCAGAAGCAGGTTATTGGCTAGAAAATTAGTCTAAATTCAACCATACCTTCCAAGGTTCCATGACAGTCCAGTCAAAACAAATGCCACTAAACATTGCATCGCTTGTAATTCTTTGTTTATTATAAATTCATCTTATTAAATCAATCCACAGGGAGTCCAACTAAGAGCTGTGTTATGAATATGAATAAAACATATTAATTAAACGTAATATGAATAAAACATCATAACGTAATAAATTTAAATTATTGCACTTACTTGTATAAATCATAAGAGCTTTCGTTTACAAGGAATAGCTTCAAACAGGGCGCTTATATATGCTCTAAAACATTGATTAGAACGATTGTTCAAATATGGCGAATAAATTGACTAAACGAAAATATTACATGGCGTTCCAACGAAAATAACAGAAAGGATTACGGGAGCGAGCGGAAGGCGAGGGTAATAGATATTAATAGAAGGGATGAAACACTGGTAATGCGATCGTGTGATGTGCAGGGGCGGCGCTACAGGGTGTGTGTGTGTGTGGGGGGGGGAGGGGGGGGGGGAACACCCCCCCCGCCCCACTCGTCAGCTAATCGGCAAATTGTTATCTCAGTCGGCAAAACTGGATTGGCCAAAGATAACAGCTGAAGAAACCAAAATACCTCCTGAATAATTGAATTCAAAGCGAATATCACGAATAGCATGCATCAAAGAAACCACACATGCAGCAATGCAAATTTTTTACGGTGTAAGGTTTAAAAACTGACGGGTATTGTGTATTGTGTATATACGTTAGATGTTTGAAGATCATATTTCGCGCGTCTGGAGTTAAAATTTGGCTCCAACTTTTGAATTTTCCGGCTGGAGGTAACGTCCCAGTTATATTCCGATTTCAATGATTCGTAAATTAAATGCGTGATTAATAGTGCTCCAAGACGTGGAACAGACTTTAAGAAGTGCCGAGATTTGGACTTTTCAAGGGCTGCAAAATGGATGCCGACAGGAATTTTGGGTTTTCTGATTATGCGTGTCTCAGAATGATGCAAATTCCATTTCCGGGATTCAAATTTAAAAATTTTCCGTGCCTTCTGCACGAGCCTCCTCCCCCCAAATATTTCATAAAATGTCCGCCACTTGCACACACGGTGGCTTAAAAGGTCTTAAAACTGTTTATTGTACCGATAAATAAAGGGGTTTTTATTGACTTGGATTTCAATAACTCGGACTGGGATTTCTAATAAAAATCCAACTGGGACTGGGATTTTGCCAAAATTTCAGGTGGAAAATGGGATAGGGACCCCCCCCCCTTGAGGACCCTCACTATAGGCTAATGACTCGGCAAAATTACCAAACAACAGTCGGCAAAAGATCACTCACACACCCCCACTCGAAGAGGGTTAGCGCCGCCCCTGCATGGTGATGTGTTCCATAAGTAGCCTGGTCTCTCGGAAAATTCCAAAACGCCTCCTGTCACTTACAACAACGCCTACGCGCTTAATTAATGAAAATAAACAATGTTTAGCTATAGCGGCTAATATGAAATGTCTAAATGTAACGACCTACGGATTATTTTACATTATTTAGTTTTATTATTATTTAGTCATACGTCACGAGAACAGGCCACTTACGGAACACATCTCGCGAAAACGGCTAAGAATGTCCGCTGTTATAAATCACATAAATTACATTGATTAGTGCTATTTTGGTAATTACTGGGCTTGCTCATGTAAGAGAACATCTACTGAGCCCTAAAAATACCACAAAAATCTTAAACGGATAGTCTAGAAGCATTTTAAAAAGTCACGTGATATTTGTTTCATCCCTTTTATTTATTTCTTCCCTCGCCTTTTTGCTCGCACGCCGCAATCCTTTCTGTTATTTTCGTTGGAACATCATGTAATATTTTCGTTTTGTCAATTTTTTCGCCATATTTGAAGAATCGTTCTAATCAATGTTTCTGAGCATATATAAGCGCCCTGTTTGAAGCTATTCTTTGTAACTGCAAGCTCTTATGATTTATACAAGTAAGTGCAAAAAATTTTAATTTATTACGTTATGATGTTTTATTCATATTACGTTTAATTAATGTTTTATTCATATTCATAACACAGCTCTTATTTGGACCCCCCGTGATCAATCTCCTTACTTCTTGAAGATTAAATTGACTAATTATCTATCAAAAATCTCCCCATCCAGTTGTCATTTGCGTTAAAAACTACATCATTTTCAAACGACACACTCCTCGACACGAAACGACGCCGCCATATTGCCAGCATTGTTCTATCGCCTTCTCAGCATTCCGGCAATCTGATTGGTTTTGAGCTCCAAATACGCGAGTTTGTAAAAAATCTCCTCTTAATATGAGAAGCCTGTTGTATAATGTTATCATTAAGTTTAATATCGATTTTAATGTCGCATTTTTCATTTCTTGATTTAAAAATTATAAATTTAGTTTTTGTTGTATTAATAGATGATTTATTCACGTTTAGCCATTTAATTATTTTATTCATTTCTTCTTGCATAACATGGGTTAATGATTGAAATCCATTAGTGTCATCAGCATACATAACAAAGGATATAATGTTACTACAGTTTTCAATGTCGTTAATATATAACAGGAAAAGTAGTGGCCCAAGAATAGAGCCTTGCGGAACTCCTGTCGATATAACCAATTTGTTTGATTTATGATGATCAAATTTAACAATTTGCATTCTTTCGTGTAGGTAGCTTTAAAAACACTTTAGGCAATTTCCTCTTATGCCAGAATGTTCAAGTTTTTTTAGGAGAATATCGTGGTTATATAACTTTGTCAAAAGGTTGGGGATCGAATCCTGCTCGCGCCGCGACTTTATTATTTTTTTTAAACTTTTTTTTCTTCTTGGTTTTTACCAGTTTTTACCCTTTTGGGTTAGCTTTGCTTAGCTTAGGTTAGGGGTAGGTTAGGGTTAATGCCCAGGCACACTGGACGCGATTTTTTAGTTTTTGAAAGTTAATTAATGAGAGCAAATTGTGGAAGACATGTAAACCAAATAACTCAAAATGTTATAGCGCTTTTTAAAATACGGAAAATTCAAACTAGAATCAAAGTTATCGGTCCGTGAAAATCGAAAAATCCCGTCGCGTTTTAAGGGTTAATAACAATAAATACTTAATTGGTACGAACATGTCAGGAAGATTTACGAAGATATTAAGAGCTTATTGTGGAAAACCGCTTTCTGCATGTATTGACGTTACCCTCAAAGAACGCCCGTGACGTAGTCAACCCCTACCGGTGAACGGGTACTGGCTAAAACAAAGATGGCGCACTTGGAAAGGTTTGGTTTCCTTGTCCTGCGGGGAGTTGGGAACCGTCGCCAATGTGGGACTAGGCGTTTGAGCAAATGGAGGCCACTGAGGTACAACCGGTAGGGCGACACCATGAGCGACCGATGGACCCAGAGCTTAGCTTGCTGTGGTGGGAAACTTTGAGGATCAAACATCGTTGTAGACACGAACGAAGGCACAGCTGGCAACACCATCAGAAAGCCGGCGCAGGAACTAGCGAAGGAGCTGAGCTGTTCGCATTCTCGGTGGAAATATCGGTGATGACAACAATACTCGAAGCTGATAAACGCGGCGACAGAACTGGAGCAGTCGATGCTATCGTCAAAGCGACGAGTTGTGGCGTGGACGATGCCACCATCGTTGTGTTTATGCTAGAAGGACTAGATGTCATCGAAGGCGAAGGAGTGAACCTAGTTTCAGCTCGGCTTATGTCTCATCCTGGCTAACCGGGCTCATGTAAACTGCCCTTAATATAGCATTAGTAAATGTTTGTGAGTCAAGTCATCATGTGTTTATATGGAACTGAGACAGCCCAAATACCAGAGTTAGCTCATTGTAGTGTTGTACCTACTACCAAGAATAATTCCATCCTTGTTTACGCGTGAAAATTTTCAGTATAAGAGCTGTTTACATTGCCGTCTGAAAATGTATTACGGCACAGATAAAATGTACTAAATATTCATAACTAAATATACATGTGCCTGTGCTTGGATAAAGGTTTGAAATGACTGTGTACCCGAGATAATCTTACTATCCGGTATATTGGTATATATACCGGATTTGACCTTTGAACTTTGCGCGCAAAGCTTTGGCAAATACCCATGTTTAAAAATATATTAACTATTTATCTAAAAATATGAAAGTCTTAACCTTATATCAACAGTATATAGTATTCGGCCGGATATCTTTCAACTATCCGACATATAGCTGCAATCTGGCTGGATAGCAAAAAGTTCTATCTGGTGCAGCCGAAGAAATGGCCAGGTAGCAATTGTGACCAATGGTTTTATCTGGCGACCAGGTATATCCCAAAGGTAGCCCTCGTTATGACTGAGAAAAAAAGTTTAAAAAAGACTAGTGTATAACTTTTAAAAAAAAATAATGAGTCAGGCTGATGAGGTTTTGGGGTGATAGTAGGAGTATCTACAAATTAATTTGGACTGTACATGGAATAATCCCAATTTTGATTTTGCAGCCAATTACTCTCCACAGAAAATTACAAATAATATTTCCCTGCCACTACAATAAGAATGAGTTTATTATACAGTACATTAGGGATGCATCAAATAGAGCATTTTACTATATCCAGCCAAATAGCAGATACGCCGAATAATTGGAAAATATCCTACCAGATTATCCAGTCAAAAACTGGATCATATATTATTTTTAAATGACAGGAAGAACTTCACAGTCAATAAAACTTAAAGTGTCCAAATATACGGTACTATGTTTATTATTTAAAGTGACTGAAGACGTTAAGGCCAGAAAAGTTTACTCTTCTGGTTAATTAGTTAACCAGTCTATCTGCCCATGTGCCCTGTTAAGTTGAAATATGCCCTAAACCACTCGACTTGCCCTCAAAAGTATTATATGTTGATAGTTTAGCCAAACTTTCTGCCCAAATCTAAAATATTTACTTTGACACGTCACCAAGAAATGATTAGATTGGATTAGTTCTATAAGTTGTTTCAAAGTTCCTCACTGGCCTCATAAACCCATCAAAGGTACAGTGCACTCTCAATAATATTCTCTAATGCAAAATAATTATCTTTTCAAGGGATCGTGTTGGCCATTAATGTATAACGAAGGACAGTTACAGCAAAACATTTGTGGATTTTGTGCGCTACAACATAGTGATGTGTTCCTATTCGACTGTGTTAAAGTACTATTCGGCAAAGATTCTATTGGTTTCAAATAACCTATACCGGTAACATTAACATTAATTTGGATTGTGACTGATAGAAACTATGTTGAGATGATTCAATACAATTAAAATACTGCTTGTAATATAGACAATTGTTTAAAAATCTAAAAATAGTTATAGTTTAAATTTGTATTTTCTATTTACTTCATTGTTTTAACTGATTTTTTCCCTATAATATGACTCAATATTTTACATGCCTGTACGTGCGTACGAAAAACGCAACAGTGGAAATCAGCCTTAAGAAACGCTTTCTTATTTAAAGAAAAATCTTGGCAAACATGATAAATAATTTTGTTAAGAAAATCTTACTTTTTGCCCCATAACACAAGAAAATTTTTCTTATTACGAAAAGCTTTCTTAATTAGGTCTGTTTTTTAAATGTTTTACAAACAAGTTAACAAATGCACACTAAAACTTGCGGAACAGTAAATTTTGTTGCTTTATTTATTTGGTTATTTCATAAGTAACATTTAAACGCAGTTAAAGTTTTATGTGCGTATACGTACGTATGTAAAACGCAACAGTGGAAATCAGCCTTTAATAAGAAATATTTTCTTGTGTATAGAACAAAAAGTAAAATTTTCTTAGTAAGATTATTTATCTTGTTGAACAAGATTTGTTTTCTTTAAATAAGAAAGCGTTTCTTAATAAGAAATATTTTCTTGTGCATGGGACAAAAAGTAAAATAATCTAAGCAAGATTGTTTATCTTGGTTTCCGAAAGATTTTTTTCTCATATTAAAAAAACCTTTCTTGTTGTGAAAATGTGGACAAGAAAAATTTTCCTACCATGCAGGGCACAAGAAAATATAGCTTGTTTCAATAAATATTTTCGGGTTTTTTCTTGTTTCAAGAATTTTATTTTTTGCAGTGTAGAACTAAACGATAATAATATCCCACTCTTTTCGGGCAGCCTACCGCCCTGGATGCTTCAATATTTTCAGTAGATATATATTGTTTGCGACTAGGGACCGGTCATTATTTATGGAATGGGGGGAGATAAGAAATAAGGGGGTGGCCATATGTATAAAAAATGACTAAAAGGGGGCTATTAGATTTTTTCAAGAAGGGGGGGGTGCAATTAAATTTGAAGGAATTTGCATAATAAGCCTGGTACCATTTGGTTGTAAATGTTGCGACTAAATCATGGTCACTGACTCACTGATGTGAAATAGTTTGGATTTATCTTGTCTTCTGTCTGCTGTATGCAAATCAGTCTTTACTGATTGCAGAGATATACAAATACGTTTGAGCACAGTTAATAGAATACATGGTTTGGAGACTCGATGAAAGTACAATATAACTCATTAACTATGTTGGTTTCGGTTTATGCAAGAATTTGGTCCTATCTCGTCACGTGTGTACTGTATTTTTTCCCGCACAACCAATAGCAATGTTTAAATTGAGCATTTGTTCAAGTTACGGATGGATAACTCAACCACAAACTTGTTATTGGTTATTTGAGCGAAAATACAATACACACGTGACGAGATAGGACCAAATTCTTGCATAAAGCCGGACAATAACATAGTTAATGAGTTATATTGTACTTTTATCGAGACTCCAAACCATCTATTAAAATAACTGTGGTTTGAGCAAGGTTAAGCAGGCCACATCCGCTAAGAGGAGTCTGTGACGTCATATCGATCAAAGGGGGGTTGTTTCGGGCCTTGTGATCAGTTCTTCGGTCTGGGTATTCATTCTGCCATTGTATACTTTGCCTAACTGCAGCAAGTTTAGCGCTTCAAAACCTTTTCCCCACCCACCCATGTTTATTCTAAAGAATTTTATCTGGTAGTATGTAATTTTATTTTATATAGTTTTTAATCTCACATAAAATAGGATGTATAAACCACTGTACATTGTATTTCGTTTCCACTGACTTGTCAGTGTGGCTGGTGCCGGAGGTATGCCTTGGCCGGCAGAATTGTCATGCATGGCTATCTCCTTTTGCTGCTAATATTATTGATTGTTACTCTCATTGTTGCTGCGCAGTTGCTATGGCAATACTTCGTGCCTTCAAGTCTAGTTGCAGCCTTCGAACACAAACGGCACCTGCCTTCAAACACTAATACTCTGCCGTTAAACATGGTTACAATCGCCCAAACCAAATGGAAACCTGATTTTAGTGTCATATTTAACAAATATAAAACATTTTCCGTGTTGATATACAGTTATATCAACGCGAGTGGAATTGGGAAAACGAGAAATTGTGTGGAAACACGACGCCCGAAGGGCGGAGTGTTTTCATACAATTTCGAGTTTTCCCAACTTCCACGAGTGTTGATATAACTATATATCAATACGGAAAAAATGTTTTATATTTTCTTTATAATATAGCAATGTCAAAAGCCCGAAGGATAAGAAACATTTCTATGTTTACAAGCAGCGGAAAATTTCCCGTGTTGACATTGAGTTATATCAACACGGCTCTTAGCCAATCAGCGTTCAGAATTTACAAATGCTATATTATAAATAAAAATACTCCTCCTTCAATTATAATTTTCTGCTAATATATATTTTTGGTCGACGTTAATATCTTTTCATGTTAGTTCCATATTCTTATTTAATAATTAACACTATAACTCCTGGGTATCCCCATTTGACGAGTAAAAATGAAAATGGGGTGGGGGGTCAGAGAAAAATATTCTAATAAGGGGGGAGGAGTTTTCAATTTTAAAACTTTAGGAAACAAAAATTCCTCTCCTCCCCTTCCATAAATAATGACCCGTCCCCTATGTCAACTTGGCACTGATGCATCGATAACAGTAATAATATTAATGTAGTTCCAAAGTGTCTTGCCAATTCCTCAATTTGAAACCCAAAAAAATCTTTCCCATACACCTGATAAAATATGTTTATTGCTATTGTATGAAGAAATGGGAAAAACAGCGACAAGATAAATATTGTTTACACAAATGAAATTTATTTTGCATTATTTACACCAGTTTTTACTTAATTTCTATTTGTCTACAAGTGTTAAGTGTACGAAGTCATTTTAAATCATTCGTTTATTACGTGTTCGGTAACCATTTTTTCTTCAAATTCTGATTCTTTAAATTTCTTTCAATTTCATCGTTGTCTTTTTCATGGAGTAATAATGACCTTTCCAGTGATACCAATTGATGCCATCAGCAAAAGAAATGTGGTGGCCATAAAAATAGAAACCATTTAAATTGAAATAGTGACAGTCATTATACCACCAAGCTCCGAGGAACGTTTGAGCACAATTTTCCACACCTTCGTATCCAATGTCATGATCAGCATCTCTCGTTGAGAACTGCATGCCATCTTGTTTGTCTAATGAGTCACCAGCGGTACCTATATCAAATTGTTATAAATACTTCACGTTTTTTACCGATACAAAACACATGAAAATTTCTTGCAAGTGACGTGGAGAGTCTGAAATGAAAACTTCTAGGGCATGTAGGCTTGCAAAACTTGAATTGTCAAACATGAACACGGATCAATACGAGAACTG